AGGGGCTAAGAGTGAAAGCTTTTCCATCCCTAATACTTCTTCCCAAGGTGATCCAAAAGTTAAGGGCAACCAGGAGTCTAGCTCTGACTTGGATCGTGCCTTGGATCTCATCTCATCAAATCATTGGATCGGTCATCGCCATTGCTATGGCACATAGCCCCTCGACTCGAGGCCTTACGATGATAAGTGGTTATCATTTGAGACATATTGTAAAGAAAAGGCTCTGGATCCCACAGAAGCCTTGCCTCAATTTTTGGCAGAGTATCTCCTACACTTGCATGCCAAACGACTCTTGAAAGGCATCATCATCATCATTACGTATTTGGTGGCTTTAAATTCAGTGTTGGCAGTACCAGAGGATTGTAAAATGACCAAGATTCCGGGACTGCAAGCTTATTAATGCTCAATTAGGCTTGAGGTTCAGAAGACCAAATTTCGTCCATCTGCATGGGATTTGAATGTTGTACTTCGGTGTTTGCGTGGATCTCTGTTCTCAGCGGCAAGAGTGAGTGAGATTCATGCCCTCGACATCACTCATGCAGTTGAGTGCACACGGAGTTTTCCACCTGGGGTTATTCTTGGATTTTGTTCTTTCACTACCCCACCATTATCATCCATTATGGTAGTTGAAGACGAGGATGAACTCTTACTTGGCGTGGTACAAAAAAACGGTTCAGCCGCAATACCATTACCTTATGGTTGCGAGCTATCATCCTTCATGCATACACAAGATTGCTAATCTCTAGCCACAGAGAACTAAACCTCCCCATGAGATGGGGCTCCACACAGTAATTGTGCTTTTTGGAGGTAAGACACAGTCTTCACCAGTCACTACCTTAGTGACGTGGCTCTAGAAGATGTCAAGGGTATGCACAGTTTTAGACCGCTAGGTTGTAGCAGGTAACCAATCTGCGATGTCATAAAAACAATTGAATCTTGTGAAGAGCCCACCTTTTCCTACTCGCGCGGTTTTATTTCTGGGGGGTTTACGGGGTCTACACTAACATGGCTTTTTCTAGACTCTAGCTTACGCTATTCTCTTTTACTGGTTGTTTACCCAGACATATTTATACTTTCTGGGACAGGATTGGCTCATCAGTTACCGATCTGTGCCATATGGCTGACACCACTATTAGTCGGGAGAGTTTTTATTGAGTACACATCTGAAGGTATTCCCGCCTGAATACCGTCGGATCCAGATGCATTAAGGAGTAATGCAGGATAAGTTATAAAAATCAAGTAAAATCTAGATATTTTTTATATCTATACTTTTCCTGCATTTCTACATCTAAGGGCCCACTTTTCACAGACAATATCTTCAGGCACATTACATGTTACCAACAGTGATATGAAGACATCAGTCGTCTGCCACTTCCAGTATGATGGGGCAGCGAGTGATCGTGGATAGGTCCTGCTTGTAAACAGAACAGCACTTTTCTTTCTTCAATAGGATCAATCACTTCTTCACTACTGTGAAAAGGTAAGCAGTGAATGGATAAGAATACAAATATAAGAAATATCTAGATTTTACTAGTACACAAGAGTTCAGTGTCATGAAACATCCCCAACGTAACTTAGCCTAAGCCATGCCTGGTGACTGCATGGCCAGTAAACCATGAGCCTGGTGTCAAATGTTTGCCAATATACAGACTTGGTAACTACACTCTTGCCCAAATACACAGAAGTACATCATGACATATATGAAGGTGACAGTGAAGGAATACTGTAACCACACTCTCGTAAGTCAGTGACAGTAGTGACCAAGTGCTATGTAAAGCCCTGAAGATCAGCAGTAACCAAAGCGAAAGTGGCAGTAAGTAAAGCACCACACAAATGGCCTCTAAGATAATAAGTAGGACCAACCAGCAAGTTGTCAGTTATTTTGGTGGTGGTTATGATTTTAAGATACCGGTATAACAATAAAACATGCGTCTCAGGTTTGATTTTTCAGTCAAATAATATTTATTGAAAAACAAGCCTGGCGCTGTAAGCAACATTTCAAACACGAGCAACTTTTCATGGTTCGATGTTTTAATTTTCATCAAATTATAATTTATATTCATGTTTTCCTGGCAATGTTAGAAACGCTTTGTATGATATCCTGGTGCAAAAGTATCCATATATATATCAATATAATGTTTTTATTTGTCATTTTATGACACTCTCATTAAATAATCGATAAATAGTTTATAAAAGTTATCAAATATATACTTTCGTTTGATAATGTTATTTCATGTAATTAATGTTAAAATGTTTTTATGCAATTCCTGAGTGCTTGACCAGTTTTCGGTCTCCCTAAATCTGTGGTCTCCCAAATGCTGGTTTCATGTATAAATCTCTCTCTATCTCTATCTCTATCTCTATCTCTATATATCTCAAGATGAAGTATAGACCAGTAAGCCAAGGATGAGAGACACTGTCTAAGATACATAAATCTAATGGCACACAAGTAGGACTAAATTGTGGCATATCTGATGAACAAACATTGTTGACAGTCTGCTACAAACAATAACGTGTTCTTCATTGATATCTGGTAATACTTTAGACCACCACACTCTACAACACATGGCCATCAAAGACAGGAAAGCCTTGATCCCTGAACAATCCATAACTGGTTCTCTATAGACTGCATGGTTCCACAGATGGTCCAAGTCTCTTGAGGTGGCTTGGTAATGTTGCAGCCAATGATATAGTGTTGTTAGGGTGTTATTACATAAACCACAGGCTACGGGTTGTGAGGTACAATCTGTTTATTCCAGCGTAGTGGAAGAAGACACTCCTGTAATAATACTAAAAATAAACAATATGCATGAATTAAAACCACACGTGGTGAACCTATCATCATTATGAACTAAGTACATACATGCGCATATATATCATAATATACAGGTATAACACAATGATACATTACACAAGTGACTTTATATGATTACATGTTTACATGTGATGAACAAAGTATCTGTTGACATGAAGACTATAAAAATAACATGGCCTAATAATGAAACAGACCATAGAGTCTGTACAAAGAAACCTACCCTGTGGGTGACACGGGAGTGTGTCCACGCACCAAGTAGCCCGACAGCAAACTCGTATAGTAAACCTATACAAGGGATAATACATTGATAAAGGGCTACCATTATACTTACTGAAACATATATACATAATAGTGACCACCACAATGAACTTCTACAATATTACCAACAATACAGGATTGATGATATATCAATATTACATCATACAGTAAACAGTTACAAAACAATAATTTCTAGCCATCATATTGACCAGATTAAACATAGAAACAAACCATATGCACATTCATACAGGTTAAATGGTAGATTGTGTATATACTTACACTAGGTTGATCATGAACATATTTACACCTATTTTATGCAATGATTTATATAAGACTTTAATTTACAATTATATAACAACTAAAATGTATAATAACTCACCTTTGAGTTGTGCAATAATCAAGCGGGTGTGCAATCCTCATTCAGTGATAGTGTGACTGGTTAGTAACATGGCGGATGACATGTATATTTGAAACAGGACCAATCAAGTGAGAAGCTTGGCCTGGGCTACATGTATATTTGAAACAGGACCAATCAAGTGAGAAGCTTGGCCTGGGCTATTGTTAAAACACTAAAGACAATGACATGAAAATAGACCAACCCAAATACCCTTACACCCAAAATGTGACCAGCCCTGTGACACAGAACTGTGCAGTAAACATAAAAGCAAGAGACAGACGGACTGACAACTAATTTCAACTTGTATATATAAAAACCAATCATCGTCTGCTGGATCACTAAAACCTGAAATAAGAATAAAATGATTAATTATACATTCATGTACACGACATAATTTAACTAAATTAATCCCTGTTACAGTAAGCTGTTTGATAGGAAGGCATAATGTGGGGAATGTGTCTACTTGGCCATCTGTTAATGAGACAATGCATCTCCTATAACATTCAGTCTACCTGGGACGTGGCATGTACTAAGTACAAAGTTATTCATGGTTGCAGGTAACACAAATATTCTGAGTTGACAAATTATAACTGATGGACTGGATTGAGATTTCAGTAATAAACTGCAGTTGCCATATTGTCACACAAAAGCTTGAACACGTCACATCTGACATCATAGATCCATGACTCGAGATGAACCATTTCTCTCGTGCAGGATTTGCATGTAAAATTTGGAGTTTATGATCAGCATGATTATGATAAGAATAAAGTCACTCTGTGGTAACGCTTGACTGATTGTTAGTTTTATCATTAAGTGGTACACATTTGAAATATCTTTTCTAAACGCACATACTTCTCTATGTTTCTATGGTTCACGTTTTCTTGGCGGTCAGTATATATACCATACCCTTTTATCAAAGCCATTTTAGACTGCTCCCAATGTACACTGAGAAATAGCTTCTCTTAATGAAATAGTTATCAGTTGTTTTTGTAATTATCCCTCGCCACAAAGTGGGAGGTGGATATTGGAATGGGTACTGTCTTTCCGTCCAGTTGTCTGTCTGTTGTCATGTTTAGTTTCCTGAGCTTTACTCAGGAACTGTTTAATATTTTATTATGAGACATTGCATTTGTATCAAAGACATGCTAATCTGGTGCCTTTTGGTGTTTTGACATATCTGTGAAAAAAATAATTGTCTCTCTTTGGCATCAAACTGGACTTAGACTCAAATATGTGTAGCCTTCATCTTCGAAGCATAACTTTATTATGAAACTTTACACATGTATCAAACACATGCAGAACTGGTGCCCTTTGATGTTTTGTTTTTTTCTATAAATTAAATTGTTTCCTTTTTTTTCCGTTGTTAACCTCCCTTTCTCCATGCTTTAGATTTTGTGTGTCCTGTTTGCAGTGCATGATTTTAGAAATTCAGCATTGAAGTGAATACCTGATATTCTTGAGTGCCCCATGGCTGGGGATAGTGATAAGGCTGTTTTCTTGTTATTATTTTTCTTGTTTTTATATCATCAGGCATCACAGTCCAACAGAGTGTGTAATGCTCTTGCTTTGCTGCAATGTGTTGCTTCCCATCCGGAGACAAGGTCAGCTTTTCTGCAAGGTTTGTAAAGTGTTTCTCCATGCATATCACTTTTTAGCTCACCTCACTGAAAGTCAAGTGAGCTTATGCCTTAGCCTGCTTGTTTGGTGTCCATTGGCATCATTGTCTGTGAACATCTTTTCCTCGGAAACTACAGCACCAATGAAACGGAAACTTCATATGTGTTTGCTCTCACCAATGACTGTACCGTTGCAGCTATATTGAAAACCCAGTAAAGCTATAACTCAGCCATGCCAATGTAATGAAATCTGTTGTTTGTATAGTTAGTAGAGGGGCTTAATATTTCTTCCATGTCTTTTGATGTCATTTTTTACCTTGATTACCTTCACATTTTTACAACTCACTTAAATTTTCTCAAAAGCCATATCAACTCTGTTAACATCTTTTCTGTGAAGAGGCTTGACAAATGAAGCTGAAATTTGGCATAAGTTTTACATAAGCCATTTTCCCTCTAACCCTCTAAAAAGGGTTCGGCTGTCATAGGATGTTTTGAAACCACTCCCTGATATTATCGTAAGGATATGATACATAAAAACAGAATTATTTTATCTTATCCTGACTTATGCTTATTGATCATCTCTACTCATTTCAAGTGTGGAAATTTCCTGAACTGTGTTCCCGGAGAACAGAGAAAACATCTCACCCGAATGCACCCCTGCACTGCGCATGAACACAGAAAGCACATGAAATGCACAGTTACCAGGCACGGTTACCAGGCACTCCCATTTTCACACTGACTGAGTGGCTGGGGGAAATTTCCTGAGCTTTGTAATCCGAGCCATCCTATTGAAATTAATTTTTGCTCAGACATTCTTCTAACCTTCAACTATCATATCTTAAGACAATTTGAATCCCTCCAGCATATAATGTGTGGGGTTGGGGGGATATAGGCAACGCCTCGTCTGTCTGTCAAACCATCTGTCCATAATCATTTCATTTGTGGAGCACAACTCAAATACATTCAATATCTCTCAAGGAAACTTGGCAGATATATCAAACAGATGCTGAATTGTTTTTGCTGTGTGTGGATTTTTGTCATTTTTATTTTTTTCGATTTCCATGGAAACAATTTAGACTTAAGTCTCAAATGGGGTGGTGGATTTCGTTTCCTTCATCCAAACCTGGTACATGTATTCACCATAGGCTGAAGTGGTGCCTTTTGTTATTTGGAAATTATTCAAAATTTTATTTTTCCTTGTTTCTGTGGAAACAAGTTAGATTTACCTGAAACAGACGTTTCTGGAGCAGAACTGAAAAACTATTCTACATTTTTCATCCAAACTTGGTACATGTATCAGGTGGTGCCTTTTGCTATTTAGGAATTTTTAGAAAGTTAATTTTTTCCTGTTTTCATGGCAACAAGTTTGACTTTAACTCTGTTCATAGTGGTGTGATGGTCAGACTTGCTGACTTGGTTGAAGCATGTCATTGATCCCAATTGCGTGGATCGATGCTCTAGATATCAAACACTGGCTCGATTATTTACCGACCACCGTCATATAGCTGTAATATTGTTGAGTGCATCGTAAAATAACAAACCAATCATAGTGGTGTGTTTGTCCGGAACCATATCTCTGACAAAAACTAATAGCTATTCTTTCATGACACTTTGCACACTCAAAGACCAGGTTGTAAACTGGTGTTGTTTAAGGATTTTTAGAATTTATTTTTTTTCCGTTTCCATGGCAACAAGGTTGATTTTGACTCATATTGGTGTGTACCTGATATGAAAGTTACAAATCCCAGTTGCATGGTATTGTTTTTATTGTTGAATAACTACACTTGTATATGGACAGAAAAATTAGATAGAAATTATCACCTTAAGTTGGACTTAAAGTAACAGATGATTTGTTCTTTCGAATTTGTAGGTGTAGGTGTCATCTTCTGATGAGTCTTTTAAATTTGGTCTAACATGTGACTTTGTTGTTTACTAAGAAAGTATGTTATGTCTGTAGTGTTTGTGTTTCAGATCGAGATCCTCACCCCATCTGTGCTTCCTGAATCCCTCAACACTGTACGATTAACATGCTTATATATATTTAAATAGCTGTAGCCTTTGGCCTTATATTGAGTTTCATGTGTTAATGTTGATATACACTTAAAAACTCGTAAATCTTTGCCAATTACGACTGTTTGTTTATGCCTAAGTTTATTTCAACTCCAAGTTCTAATTTTGCATAACACATGCTTGCACAGTGTACAAATTGTCATAAAAAATCTTCAAAAGATCCTCACCAAAGTTGCTTGGACTGCCCTCAAGTATGCGAAACTTTCAAATGTAATTTTTATTCACCTCTCTCTCCACCGAGTGTCTCCATTTAAAGACAGGTCACTCATAAACATATTTTACAGCAGTCGGGTGAAGCTTTGTCCAGGGCTATAGTGACTGCCGACATTCATTCACCTCCATGTACTAAGACCTGGGGCTCAGTTGGGACTATCACACCTATTTAAAAATTTCAGCCTCCTTGGCCTCCACAGTGATGGTACCTGTGTCGTGGTGCACCCGTCTTAGGTGCGTCTAACGGGTCGGCACCGGCGGTGCAAGCCACAATCCAATCAACACCTACTGTCACCTCATCAAAAGGGCTTGCACTGAGCACACTGTCTGCTAACACCCCGTTGGGCGCTTTAACAATGACTACAGCCTCAGGGATTACAGCGTGTCCTGCGACAACATCGACGCTAGGTCAGCTTTACGATGCACCTCCTACCCGGTAGTGCAACAGATGTATGCGCAGCTTTCGACACTGTACCTGGAGAACAATTGTATGCAAAATTTTATGCAATCCATGTGGCAGCAGTCAACCGTTGACCTCAGCTCCTCCACCTTGGGATTATCCAAGGAAGCAACATCTGCAACTAAAATCCAACATAAACATCTTGTTGAAGAAATTTACACCAGGCTTTTACTCTCTCATCTGTCTGGTACCCAAAAAGGACTCAGACAAGATGCGAATCATTCACAATCTCTCCGTGTTCAACAAGCACTATCTGGAGCGTCCGTCTTACTTCCACTTCACGACTTTGAGACTGCTAAGAACCAACAAAAACGCATTTTATTAGTCCCAATCTGCAGGATGCATACTTGCACTCCAGTTCCTAAGGGGCCTGTTTCATAATGATTAGGACCTCCTATCAGTGCCGAGGGACAGATGGCTAAAGATCTTACGCCATTAGTCACCTGCCCTGCATCAATCACGCACACTTCACCAATGGCAAGTGTTGATGGGGTTACTCACTTCAGCCCAGGATCTGACAAGCAGAGGCCGCCTACAATTGCGCCCAATGGAACAATTTCTGGCTCCTTACATCAGGCCGTGCTCATGTGTTTCATCAAAGCGGTAAAGGTCTGAAAACAATCAAGGGACAACACCTCTCACTCCCTTCTACAACTGACGCTCAGGTTCTTTCATCTAGTGGACCGCCTGGGATGCTTTATCCGGGCCAGACAGGCTGTCTCACCCAGGTTGGAAACTTCACTCGGGGGTGTTCCACCTGGTGCTTCAGCGCTTCGGGCAACCAAATATCCACCTGTTTGCAATTCACCAGAACCACCAACTTATGACGTATGTCTCCCTGTTACCGGATCAGCAGGCTTGGGGGTAGTCGCATTCAGCATCCCCTGGGAAGGAATAAAATCGTACACTTTTCCGCCTCCTGTACTACTTCCCAGGGTGATACAAAAGATCAAAGACACAAAGGGCCTTGCTCTGACTTTGGTCACGCCTTGGTGGCCAGTGAGGGGGTAGTTCGTCGACCTCAAAAACCTTACAGAAGACGATCCACTACCCCTCCCAGAGTGGTACTCCTCCACCCTCACAGCAAACTACCCCACCCAACGCCAGGCTGATGTTATCTGCATGCTTGGTTCGTCTTTAGAAAGTGCTAAGCGCCAACGGCTGTTCAGCATGGGTAGCTAGGGCGAGAAGGGGGTTATATGATGACAAGTTGAGATCATTTGAAACCTTTTGTCAGGCAAAGAATCAAGATCCCACAACAACATCACCTGAGTTCTTAGCTGAATACCAAAACACACTTGAAGGAAGGTAGCACCATTACAACGTAATGGCCATTCCACAAAATCGCAAAATGACCTAGATCCCGGAATTACAGGCCCTATTGCGTTCTTTCAGGCTTGAGGATCAGAAGGCTGCGGCGCGGAAGAGCGAGTTACAAACACTTGACATCACCCGTGTCCGTTTTGAGCAGAGTACCCATGCAGGGGTACATATCGGGTTGTGCTGTGATTTCAATGTGAAAAAATCAACTTCGCGGGCCAACCTGATTGTTCCTTCACCATCATACCATTCTCAACGATTGTGGGAGTTGAAGATGAGGGTGAACTTCTCTTGTGCCCGGTATGCACACAACAAGTTTTCATCCGCTGCTCCAAAGCAAGGTGTGGCTCGCGGAAACAGTTATTCATTCCAGTATCCTGTAAGCCCACGACTGAACTTAGATGCAACACCATATCTCTATGGTTACGCGCAGTCATCCTGCAGGCTTTCGAGATCGCTAAACTTGATCCGCCAAGAGTGAAAACCCTCAAAAGATCAGAGCGGTAGCCTCAACCATTACTCAAAACAGCAATTGTTCCATTAGAGCAATCATGGAAGGATGTTTCTGGAGGTCTGATATGGTTTTCGCAGGATAACCAAAAAAATTACGGGCCCACCTATTGCAGACTTACCTCCCCACTGTAGCTTGAGAACTTTTTGATAGCTACGGCGAGAAGCAGTAATTTGAATTGGATGTGACATCAGCGGCAATGGTCCTTTAAAAGGAAACTTGAGTCGGAAACAGCTTTTTCTTTTTCTCACCCCGAACCATCGCAAGACACTGTCCTCTTTGTCGTAAGGTAAGCAGTAATGCAATAAGGAGTAATGCAGGATAAGTATACAAATGTCAAAAATATTTAGATTTTACTGAAAGTGTAGTTGCTGCTCTCCTTTGGGAGAAAATAAATTTGCAGAATATTTATTTACAGTACAGAATAA